AGTTGGTTGCAAGTGGGTATTCACTACGAAAATCGATGAACATGGTAATCCAGTAAGATATAAGGCAAGGTTGGTAGCAAAAGGTTTTAGTCAACAATATTTGAGTGATTATAATGAAACCTTTGCACCTGTTGCACGAATATCTACCTTTAGATTTCTATTGGCATTCTCAAATCAGTATGACTTATTAGTCCATCAAATGGACGTAAAAACTGCATTTTTAAATGGAGTCCTAAAGGAAGAAATATTTATGCAACTTCCAGAGGGTATTACAGCAGATGCCAATAAAGTATGCAGATTAAACAAAGCTCTTTATGGCTTAAAGCAGTCTTCCAGGTGTTGGTATGAAAAATTTGATAAAACAATGAAAGAGCTTGGTTTTGAGAGTTCTTCAGTTGATCCTTGCTTGTACTTTCTTAACAAAGGTAATATTAATAATAATTTGTATGTTATACTATATGTCGATGATTTATTAATCTCCACAAGAGATATGTCCACAATGTCAAAATTCAAATCATATTTAATGAGTAATTTCCATATGCAAGATCTAAATGAGGTAAGACTTTTCTTGGGAATAAGAGTACAGAGAAACAAAGATACAATAACCTTAGATCAGACAAATTATTTAAAATCTGTATTAAATAAATTTAATATGGCTGAATGTAAACCAGTTTCAACCCCTCTAGAAAATAGGTTAAATTACGTCGAATTAAATATTGATCAGGTAAATTCAAACTTACCCTGTAGAAATCTTATAGGATGCTTAATGTATGCTATGCTGTGTACGCGGCCAGACTTATGTATAACTATTAGTATATTAAGCCGATTTCAAAGTAAAAGCAATGAAGAGCTATGGAAGTGCTTAAAGAGAGTACTTCGATACATACAAGGATCAATTGATTTAAAATTAACTTTCAAACGTAAAAGCTTTGTCAATATGCTTGAAGGCTATGTGGATTCTGATTGGGCTAATAATGAAATCGACCGACGAAGTACGACCGGATATTTATTTAGGGTTTACGAAAATTGCACGATTTCTTGGAATTCAAAACGGCAAACTTCTGTTGCCGCTTCTTCAACTGAGGCCCATTTCAATGTTTGAAGATAATAACGGTTGTATTAGCATCGCTAACAATCCTACAAACCACAAAAGGACCAAGCATATTGACATAAAGTATCATTTTACACGGGAACAGATAATACAAAATAAGATATCAGTTCAATATATTCCCACAGGTAAACAACTGGCTGACGCATTTACAAAACCATTACCAGCAGTCAAATTTATTAATATAAGGAATAGTATTGGAATGAAATGAATTACAATAATATGATAAGTAATCAGAATTGTTATCTATCGAAGAACACTTCATTTATGTAGATACATTTTATAATTTTTGAGTAAGTTACTTATTATTATTTTTATTATTATTTTTGATCTTGTTTTTGAGTGGGAGTGTTGAAATATAGTATCTAAACAGATAATATAATATCCAAAAACAAATCCCTGATGAGTAATCGACAAGGGAAAGAAATAGAACCGAAGGGTTTTATTTATGACCATGTTTATTTAGGATACTTATCCATTCCTATTATGCGTCGTAAAATTATGTTGATGCATTTTGCCATGCCCTGAAAAGGTTTTGGGTGTGAAGATAAAATATAAGATGAAGAACTGAGTTAGTCAATCTTATGCTTTTGAGAACTAAGCACCGAAATATATTCTCGTGTTCTAATTCTATCGTGTTTCATTTATCCACTGTTAACCTAATCATTTAAGACTGGATACCGGAACCATACAACTTCTTTTATCTCTCGGAGCGCACGAAAGAAAATTCCTATAAGGTTCGAAGAACATCGTGCGTCCTTGTTCCATTCATACTTTTCTCCATCTGACAATTCGAAAAGTTCTGGAATTATTTTATATTAATTAAATTCAATTCTTCATTGACCGGGCTATATTTTCAGTGTCAACCGAGGTGTCAACAGTCTTGATCATAGGCAATAAGGCAATGCAATTTGTTTAGGTGTGTGATAAATCTGTAACAATAGATGATTTTCTCATTTCCTGATAAGAATAACTATGTTGTTTTTCATTTCATTATGCTGACTAATCGTTTCAACACGGTATTGTGTTTAACTGATAAATATCTAACTAATCGAATTATTTTGAAAATATCATATTACTCACTAATGGCAGCTGCGTGACGAATGAAGAATAATTATTTTATACAGATGTAGAAAAAAATGAACAACTATTCAACTGTACCACTGTTCCCCATCTTGCAGACTTCTTGTCTTGGTCACAATTTTCGTGCAGTGTTGCCGACTTTTGTCTATAAATCAGGGTAGGGCAATGTGATATATTCAAACTCGATTTGCGATGTGCCGGAATTCAATCGTTTTTCTTAGGCGTCATAAATCTCATCTATTTTTTTTATTTCTCAAATAGAATCATCATATTTCATATTTTTTAGCATTTTTCGGTCGATTTCAAGGTGCTAAAATCATCAATAATGCCTAGGTAAATTTCAAACGGATAAAAATTCAATGCGAGTAAAAACTGACGTCACGATTTCGTAAGTAAGGGCAGACCATAGCAGAGTTGCCATGTGTCGAAATACGATTGGTTACTTCCGAGGTAACTTCAGGAATATTGGTTATTTAAACATTAATAAGTTCTGAATTATGTATTGGTAATATTCCTATTTAGTAATACAAAATCGATTGTCTCAAAATGTTTCCTTATAATTTGTGGCTTATTGCTTATAATACATTTGTGTAAATAGTAATTATATTAATTCATACTAGAGGACATTTGGAGCAGTGAACGTGACAACACGGCGCGTACGACTTGTGGGCGTGGTCTTGTCCCTTCTCAGCATTCAGCACAATGTTGCCAAGTCTCCAACATTCACATGATATTTTGTTATTGGGTATTTGAAATATTCCCAATCAGCACCAGACAACTTAAAGACGTACATTTTACAACTTACTTACGTCTTTACGTCCAGGGACGTATAAAGTACGTCTTTAAGATGTAAATCCATGTACATCTTAAAGACGTACACGAATTTACGTCTTTAAGACGTACATTTTAGGTCGTATCCACGTCGTTCCTCCCATGTCGTATAAAAGACGTCTTAAAGACGTACATTCCAGTACGTCAATTCGACTTATAGAACAATAATGTAAGTTATTTTCTGAAGAAAAACACAATGTCATCTCTTCACGTTTTTATTTTCAATTGTTCAGTTTTTTCTTATTTTCAACAAAAGTGATGTTTTTGAATTTTTTCGTCCGACATTTTGGAGCCTTCGTGTTAGATTCTCGAATTTTTACAAAAAAATCATTATCTTCGACCTCAAAAGTCCCATAGTAATCAATTTTGAATAAAATCGGACTATAATCACAAAACTCGTCCGCCATTTTGAAGCCGACATCTTGGATTTTTCATTTTCGACAAAAGGAATTATAATCTCTGATCCCGAAATCCTTCAGATGCCAATTTTGAATCAGATCAGACCATAATCAGAAAACCATATGCCACATTGGATTCACCATCGAATATTGAATTTTGATTCGAATCGGAACATAATCAATGAGAAAATCGTCCGCAATATTGGATCCGCCATTCTGTTTTTTCCATTCAATAATAATGTCACAACGAATTGTCACCGGAATAATATTTACATGCCAAATTTCAAATCAATCGGACGATTTAAAGTGAGTCAAATTTAACTTGCACGTTTTGATTACAAACAGACACAAGGACATGTTAAACTAAGTAAAAGCTTGTTATGTGATATATAGAACAAACAGAGTAACAGAAGAAGTGTCAAGTGAGTATGGTATAATCATCGAAGTCAAGCAACAAAGAGCGCGGTTAGTACTTGAATGGGTGGGTGACCGCTTGTGTCTACCGTTTGATGAGGTCGTTTATTTCCATTTTTTTTTGTTGCTTGTCTGCACTTGTTGCTAACTTCAGTGCACAGGTGAAAATTAACTGAAACTATGTGATTTTTCCGTAATTTGAAAGATCAATTTGAGGTCATGGACCAAAAACACCTAAAAAAGACGTCTTAAAGACGTACATATTAGTGGAAATGTACGTTTTAAAGACGTCTTAAAGACGTCTCTTGGGCGTAATATGTACGTCTTTAAGACGTACTTATGTCCCGACATGTACGTCTTAAAGACGCCTTTAAGACGTACTTTGGCTGATTGGGTTTGGACATGCTGGTTGCTCAAAAAAGTCAAGAATGAACTATAATACATATCATGGGTTCTTCTTATTATGTTTTATTCGACGACAACGACAGGACTCAAACATCTTTTTGATAACTTGATTTTAATTGAGGACTTGACAACCTTGAAATGAAAGATTATCTGACCAATAATGAAACAGCATAAAAACTGACGTCAACATTCATTCGACGTATCGCCAAATGGCGCCCATGATGTTACGTTTGAAATGAGCTCTGAAATTCAACGATTTTGAACAACGCATAGACTTATTATTTACATAAAAAAGCGTGGGAAGTGTTGCAAAAATTATTGTAGGTTCCGAGGTAGGTTCCTAACACAGTGGTGTCATTGAATGCCAATAATTCATCATCAATTTACTGGCCCATTCAATACAGCAAAACGAGTGCTACGTTTAGTGGAAATTTGAAGAGGTAAAAACAATTCTAGAAAAAGCTATGGCGAACAAACTGTAAAAAATATCAGAAGTTACCTAATTTTTTTTCTTCATCGCTTGGTGCGCACGAAATGGAATCCCTATAATGTTCGAAAAACATCGTGCCCACTAAGGTAAGATAGGGAGAGGAGGTGGGTGTTGGAATTGTTTTGAACTTTTGGAGATTATAAGTTCTTCTGCTCGTAATCTTGTAATCGCATGGAAATGTATATCCGAGTTTTATCGTTTCTGAGGTCGAGGAATATGAGTTTCCAGTCGAAAATTAAAAATTCATTATGTCAATGAAGTGTATACTCACACCGTAGTGGAGGTAATGTCATCGAACTGTGTTATCGAGCCCAGCCATTGGTGACTCCCGCTATTCGAAATCAACTCGTCGAAAGAAGTGTTCTGCGACATGGAGTACTGCTCTTCCCGCAAGGTGGCGCTGCTCGTGTCTACGTCTTCGGACGTTTGGGACTCTTTTTCGTCGTCTTCTCCGCTGGCGTCGCAGCTGTCGTCGGGCTTCTCCAGACTCAGCCATTTGTTCACCTGCAACAATTCTATTTTCAAAGGACTTCGATTTCAACACTCAAAGAAATAGTATGGGTTGAATTGACAAAAAGATGTGTTTAATCAACATCATTATAATTGTTGAATAAAACTACAATGATTGTACATTCAATGATTAGGCGATCGTCAAAACAATTGAGAAAAAAATTGTACATGAACAAATTCAACGCTAACCAAAAATATTAGTTGATAATATTTTCGTGGTAAAACCAAAAATTTAAAAGAATTAGTCAAATCGAACTAGAAATAGTATTTCAACAACTTTATGACTGTAACTGAAATATCCTCGGAAATATCATAATAGCTCGCTCACTGTTATATTTGGTAGACAAACGAAGAGGAAGTTATAATCAATTTCAACTTTATTATATTGTAACTAAAATATCATTACAGCTTGCTCACTGTAAAAGTTGGTAATCAAACGAAAAGGAAGGTAAAATCAACCTCTGCAACTATTTCAAATCACTCTAAAGATATTATTCAAACAATATTATGTTGTATAACTAATATACAGGGTGGCCCACGGAAAACGGTACATTGGATTATCCTAAAAATTTGGTTACTCTAATTAGCGTTTGTGATCTAACGATTCAGAATATTTTCAGTGAAGCAGCGTTGCCACTTTTACCAAAAAGTAGCATCATCTTTGTTATTTCAAATGAAACACCCTGTATTTTATTGCGTTTTGATTCTTCTCGAAGAGCTGATTCCATCAATGTATCACACTTGGGGTCTAGCAGGAATTATTACAGAGATATAGGGTGTTCAAAATCGAGATTTTTCAACTTTAGGACTTTTTTGTGTCGAAACTATTCATCATTGGTCAAAACGGCTTACATGTCCCTATATTAACTTTTGATTAACTATCTACCGACATTCAATTGGAAAAAATACAGGATGGTCCAAAATTCAGAATTTTGATCACCCTGTATCTGTTCCAATTAAATGTCAGTAGATAGTGAATCAAAAGTTAATATAGGGACATGTAAGCTGTTTTGACCAATGATGAATAGTTTCGACACAAAAAAATCCTAGAGTTGAAAAATCTCGATTTTGAACACCCTATATCTCTGTAATAATTCCTGCTAGACCCCCAAGTGTGATACATTGATGAAATCAGCTCTTCGAGAAGAATCTAAAAACGCAATGAAATACAGGGTGTTCCATTTGAAATAACAAAGATGATGCTACTTTTTGGTAAAAGTGGCAACGCTGCATCGCTGAAAATATTTTGAATCGTTAGATCACAAACGCTTATTAGAGTAACCAAATTTTCAGGATAATCCAATGTACCGTTTTCCGTATACGTCTAAGGTACCATCGACCGTGGGCCACCCTGTATTATTACAGCTCGTTCACTGTCATAGTTGGTAGACAAACGAACAGTAGGTTAAAATCAACCAACCTTCTTTGAACGGTTGACAATGAGCTTGTGATCTTTCCATTGGTATTTGCAGGGCGATAGCGTCCACATGAGATTTTGTAGTTGGCGTCTTATTTGGTTTTTTGTGTTGTGGCTTTATATGTTATACCTATTCTGCAATTCAATATCGAGTTGTGATTTAGTACTTAATTTGGTAATGATTCAACACACTGTATGAAATTATTGCTAAAGTTCTCAGGACTCTCTTCAATTTTTGGATCATTTAGCACAAAAGAAGTGGATATAATATCTCCAGAGAAGTTGTATATGAGCATTGAGCAAATTTTTAAATCTCTCGTCAAGGAGTACCACTTATGTAGTCTTCCCAATTAATAATCATGATGAGGAAAATTCATCAGATGATCGTAATTATGTGATGGTGAGTATTATTCATGAATTCAGTCAATTCAATATTAAATTCATATTCCGATTCTACACATTTCTTGCAGGAAGAAGATGATAAACTGTGGTTGCAATTAAATAACGTCCATTGAGTGTCATAATGGATAAATGGAAGAGTACATTCGAATAATGGAGACGAGAAATTGAAAATGAAGAGAATTATACTGTAGATTTTGTAAAGTTAATCACCATGTCATGAATAAACTTGATGTTCATACGAAATCTGCATTAATTCAGTGGTACAAGAACCTGAAAAATAGTCAATATACCTATATCTACTATGCACTTTGTTGGTGAACCAAATATTATGGCTATCTATAAGTACAAAATATAAGTGAAGGGACAAAAATGATGGTTAACATCATTTGCCGGTCGTGGGTTCGATCCCCGTCGACTGCAGAAATTTTTCTGATGGCCCAAGAAAGTGTTTGGGATCACACGTTAAAAGGTAAGGCCCCCGTCATTCCTTGCTCGCACAAGACTTTCGAAGACTTTTGAGGGTTGCTCGTAAGGGGGCAACCGAATGACGGATAGAACAAATTTTAGAACAAACAAAATTCGTATATTGACTAAACATATTCAACTGTTCGCTGGTTGATATAATGGGCTTGCATCACAAAAAAAAATTATTTCATAATTCGATAGAACTCACGCAAACCGTTCTTGCTGTGAGCTCCCTACGTTTTATAAAAAAAATTGAAATCCCCGATTTTTCGGACCTCTGAAAACGAGGCGATGATGTGACGTCAAAACCCTAATACTGAAACAAGACTATTCCAGACAGAGATGAATGATACATGATTTCTGACAGAGTGAATTAGGGCGAGATCACAGTTGAAAGAATTAATATATCTGTTGCCTCAGTCTCCGTCGGGCGTTTGGTATTTTCGTTTAACTATGGCGAGATGAGGTTTTGACGTCATGAGAGGGTCCGTTTTCAGAAGGTACTATTATTTATGTCCGAAAATACAACATTCCAGTTAATTTTTCGATCGAATTATGTCGTCAATCATTATTTATGTATAAAAGGATCATTATAAACATGGTTTGAGTTGAAAGTTCTACTGAGGTGTACACGCCCATTATTGAACCAGATAGGCTCATTTTCATATGCTCAATTTGGTTGATTTAACCCATCAATTTCTTTGAGTGAATGAAAAATAAATTGAAGTTTGAAAAACTGAAGAAACACGCTTTTATTATTTTTTCCACCACTAGCTATAAAATCTACCATTATTCACTCCTTTTCGAGGTGTAAAGTGTGTTTTTACTACCAAGATAGTTTTCGTCATTTTATGAACCACAAGTCAATGAAGACATAGCCACATCTGTTGTAATTAACCTGAATTCACTGTTCTGATGCGATATCCGCTGTAATGGCACTCGAATCTAGTAGGTATTTAGCAATAACGACTTGTCATCTGCTGTCATGGTCATTACTACTAGATTTTAATTAGAATTGGAGAGAAGTGCTTTCACAGTGACAGTACGTCCATATTTCAGTTTCACAGAACTATAATGATTGAAATGTAAGGCACAGATCAGACCTGTCCTGGAATACTGTTCCCATATTTGGAGTGCAGAACCCAAAAATACCCTGAAACGAGGCGAGGCATATAATCTTCAGAAATTTAAGAAGAACACCAATTCCTACCTTATTTCCCTTGGTTCTCACGATGGTCTCTGAACATTACAGGATATCCCTTTTCGTGGGAACCAGAACATAAAAAAAGGGGTGAAAAAAGTCAATATTCTCCACACGAATTAATTTTGAACGAGTCCAAAACGGTTATGGCGGTATTCGGAAACATACTTATCAATGGTAAATCGCTTAATCCAATTGCACATGTAAAAACCTCGGCCTGCATATGGATGTTGACACTTTTTTCGAAATTCCTTTTTTGGATTCACTCTATTATCTTTCCTATTACTCAAGGACCACCATTTTATTGCATAACACGATTTTATGGGAAATTAATATCCAAATTAAATAACAAAAAAACGGAACAGAATGCGAAGTCAGTAGCGAGTATTTCCGCCGCGGGCACGAATAACTTCTTGGCAAAGACGGTCTTTACCCAAAATGAGAGAACTAATATCATATTGGTCCAGGTCTCCCCAAATTTGAATCATCAGTCTCTGCCGTGCGTTTTTCAAAGTATTCTCAATAGGATTTGAATCCATGTTCCGAGCTGGCCATGCCATGGTAGCGATACAGACTTCCTCTAGATAATTTCTCACAACTAGGGCCATGTAAGGCCTGGCATTATCTAGCATCAACAAAATTCCTTACACTATATGTGGTTCTAAAATCACCGATATGTACACTCATCTCCAGTGAACATGTCGCACATGGACGGTGTGTGCTCTCTAGATCACTGCTGCATAAGAGCGCTTACACCGTCCAACCGCGACATGTTTTCGGAAGACGACTGTACCTTCCAGCAGTTCCAGCTGAAAGGTTTCCATTCATGATCACAAGGTCCATGCGACCAGCCAAAGAAATGCCTTCCCAGACCATAGCCTTCTACTTTCGTGCTTATAATGCCTAGTGGTGCCCGCGAGAGTCTCGTTTTCGAGTCTCGCATGGTCTCGTCTCGTTTTCGAGACAAGACTCGAGACGATACCCAGAAAAGACGAGACGAGACTTTTATTGGTCTCGTCTCGAGTCTCGTGCAAGACTTTTCGTGTCTCGTGCGAGAGTCTCGCAGGTAAATATTTCTGCGTGCCGTCTGCAGACTTGAGAATTTCATTCATAATACAACATATTTAGAAATAATTTAGACTATTTAGCAGAGATAAACAAAACATTTCATTCATAAATACTTCAAAAACACAATCCATGATTGTTGTAAAACGACGTAATGCGTGAAACGGAAACGGACTATTCTCTCTCTTACGGCGGAATAATGTTGGAATAAAGTTTTTGTTTTGTATACTTTTTATTTTTTTTTATAACTCGAATATATAATGCTATGATTTTTTTCTTGTTTAGATGTTTGATGTAGGTATGTACCTATTATAAATTGTTCCAAAATTGTTCTATCCGTCATTCGGTTGCCCCCTTACGAGCAACCCTCAGAAGTCTACGAGTCTTGTGCGAGCAAGGAATGACGAGGGCCTTTATTAACATGTGATTCCAAAAATTTTCTCT